GATTAATCATGTGGGTGGGTAATCCATTGGTTGAGTGATTAATCATGTGGGTGGGTAATCCATTGGTTGACTGATTAATCCTATGGGTGGGTAATCCATTGGTTGACTGATCCCTTTGAGACATGGCTCAATGAGACAACAGGAGATGGAGCTGCCCCTTAAAGAAGACCTGGAGATTTATTTCTCACCTGCTACCCTCCTGCTATCTCCACCTGAGTGGTTAGAAGATGTGGAGCTCTCTACCCCAAGGAGGAGAAGAGGAAGCAGGGTACACGGGATAGATACATAGAAAAGGTCAAACTGGTGTCATCATCTAAGACACTTGGTATGACTCCAAACGGCTCTAGCTGCAGCCCGTGAGAGCAGTTACCTAGACCTAATCAGACTGAGGCCAGGTTATGTGAAATAGTGGCTCATTCCTGTACTGTATTGATTGCTATCTGTCTCCTGCTTGTCTGTCTGTAACCTACATCCATCCGATGTTTCACTTCGGTAGCTGAGGCTGTGTGCTAGGACTTCTGGCCTGCTCTGAACTCTGGGTCTGTTGTGTCCTGCCAACCAGGACTCAATGAGCCTTTTGCCAACAGCCTCAAGTTCATAATGGGGTCTTCCTTGCTCACGCCCACCCTTGTTGTGATCTTATTCTTGGGTCCTGTTTTATCCCACTGAGCCTCTGTCTCTGACTTAGTTTCTTTCCCAGGGCATCCGTTCCCAATGCAGTGGTCTTGTGCTCACAGCCCAGTCAGTCCCTCTGGCTGGGTCTCAGCTGCTTAGAGCAAAGCTCCCTCATACTTATTGCACGCCTGAGTCTTTGCCTGGCCCTCACTGTCGGCCCCTAGGACCAGCTGCTGGGTTTTCACTTCTAGCCATGGGCGGCCATCCCTACAGAGGATGCACTTTTTCTTGGGGAGTAAAGATGCAGCCGATGACATCCCATCCCCACCTCCTTCTGTTCTGCTCTCCAGCACTTCCTCACAGCCCTGGGGGGTCTCGTGGCTGTGCCGCTCATCCTGGCCAAGGACCTGTGCCTGCAGCATGACCCTTTGACCCAAAGCTACCTCATCAGCACCATTTTCTTCGTCTCGGGCATCTGTACCCTCTTGCAAGTGTTTTTAGGAGTCAGGTAGGTAAAATTGCTCTCCATGAGTTTTGAGTTCTACTCGCTATGGTATCAGTGCTTGGATGCTGCTGGGTGACATGAAGCTTGTTGGAGGGAGGGGTCCATGATGAACCAGGATGCTTGGCTGAAGGGAAGAGAATTACATATCAGCTTAAGGGAAAATGTGTTCTTGGCCGGGCAGTGGTGGCGCACGCCTTTAATCCCAGCACTTGGGAGGCAGAGGCAGGTGGATTTCTGAGTTCAAGGCTAGCCTGGTCTACAGAGTGAGTTCCAGGATAGCCAGGAATACACAGAGAAACCCTGTCTCGAAAAACCAAAAAAAAAAAAAAAAAAGTGTTCTTTATTAGCTTATACAATTAAGCTAAGAGAAAGGCAGAGAACATGATGAACCAGGGTTCTCTTTCTCCCTCTTCCCCTCCTTCTCTCCCTCCCCCCTCTCTGTGTGTGTGTTTATGTGCAGGCATGTTCATTTGAATCTACATGTATGTTCTGGTGCATGTGCATGTATGTCTGAATGTGAGGAGGCCCAGGCACATCTTCAAGTATTGTTCCTCAGTAGTCATTTACTTTATGTTTTGAGACAGGGTCTCTTAGTGGCCTGGATCCCTTCAAGTAGGCTAGGCTGGCCGGCCATCAAGCCCTGCCTACCTCCCAGTGCTGGGATTACAAGTGTGCCCCACTGCATCTAGATCTTTCATGGATGGGGAGGCCGAATTCAGTTTTTTTTTTTTCTTTTTCGAGACAGGGTTTCTCTGTGTAGTCCTGGCTGTCCTGGAACTCACTCTGTAGACCAGGCTGGCCTTGAACTCAGAAATCCGCCTGCCTCTGCCTCCCAAGTGCTGGGATTAAAGGCTCGAATTCAGGTTTTAATGCTTGTGTAAGAAACACACCATGGATTGAGCCTTCTCCTTAGCCCCATCTTTCCTTCCGCTCAGTCCTGCCCCTAATATTTGTGAGGCTCTTGATAAGAATAAACCAGTGAAGATTCAGACTCCATGGGCAATGCCAGAAAGTTATAAAGTTATAAGCTGACAAATCCAGAACTGAACCAGGAATTCATCACCCTGCCTGGTGGGCCAGAGTTGAGCTCAGTGTGGAACCTGGAGAGCTGGGGGCACAGAGATATTGGAGGAATAAGGAGATGGACAATCTGGGAGAAAAAGAGCAAATTTTCCCAACCTCCATTGTCTTTTTGTTTTGTTTTGATTTTTCCAAAGATGGCTTGGTACCTTCCCATACTGGTGAGGGACAGTATCTTTGCTCCATCTGCTGATATATTGCCGAGATTTTCCTGGATACATCCTTACAGATACCCTCTGGCTGACTAACTATCCAAACATCCATCAACCCAGTCAAGTTGCTATATTAAATTAAATTACTAGAAGTCCCTAAGGTCCGAGGAACTTTATAAGAGGGGCAAGGAAGTATGTGGGAGCTGGAAGATACGAGGAGCTGTGAAGTGGCATTGTCTTGACTCAACACAACCATTACGATCACGAACGTGCAATAATGGTTGTTTCCTGAACCATTCACACAAGAGCGGCTCTGTCTCCAACAGCAGCAGAAGGCAGAGGGGCTCGCAGGGCCTTATCCTTTAGTGATGAACTATTGGTGATTGATTGGTTGGTGCTGGGAAGAGGGTAGCCATTGTCTTCAACTGTATATCCACTAAAGAGTCCACCATACTCCAGTGGATAGCTCCAGACACAGACAACCCTGGTTAAGCTCAGTGGCTCACAATGCAAAATAAAGAGTTGAATGTGAAACATTTGGCAGAAAGTGCAGGGGTCTGGACTCTGACACTGCGGAGGGCAGGGGCTGCAGGTCACTGCCTAGGAGTTTCTCTCTGAGGAACCTCTTGACCCTCTGCTCACCTCCTTCAGTCAAACATGTTTGTGTCCAATGCTTCCTGCCTTTGATATTTTCTTAGCTCCTAGTCCTGAGACGAGATAGCCAATTTTTTTTTTTAATAGCCTGAGCTGTTAGAGTTTTGGGTGTCATCTTTAAGAAAAAGCACAGAAAATTATGAATACCAAGTTATATAGAAATGAGAACATTTATAGAGGAAATGTAATCGGTATTGACAAATCACAAATTTTCTTATCTTTTCTTATTTATTTATTCATTTATTTACTTTTGTTTTTACTAGATAGAGTTTCTCTATGTAACAGCCCTGGCTGTCCTGGAACTCACTCTGTAGACCAGGCTGGCTTCAAACTCAGAGAGATCCACCTGCCTCTGCCTCCTGACCTCCTGAGTTCTGGGATTAAAGACATGAGCCACCACATTCTGTGAGTGTGTGTGTTTATGTGTGTGTTTATGTGTGTGTATGTGTATACAGGCATGTGTGTCCATGAGCACACATTCACAAGCTAGAAGAGGATGCTAATATCTCTTTCTGAATCTGAAGCTCACCATTTTGGCTAGGATCACTGACTGATGACAAAGTTCCCAGGATCTGTCTATTTTTGTCCCCTCATTTCTGGGCTACAAGCTCATGTGACCATCTCTGGCTTTTTTAATTTTTTTAAATCAGACCTTGATGTCTCTTGCTTTCAGAGCAGTCCTTCCTATTCATTGAGCCATTTCCCAGCCCCAAACTACATTTTTAAAAAGCAGATAAACATCACAAGTAGCAAACATTACCAAATATAGTATCACTTTTAAATTATTACTTAGCTGACAGTTGCCTGTGCTACTCCTCGTGTGTCCTGTGGTTTTATATCCTGCACAGCTCTTCATTCTGTAGTAAGAAGGAAAGATAATCAGCGGCCATCTGGGAGACACAGCTTCAGAGTTATTTGCTGTCACTACTGGCCAGACCCCATTCTGCCTTCATACACGGATTTGCACCCTACAAACAGAAGAATTCTGATGAACTCTACTGTACCTTATAAAAGCTTTTAGCATTCCAGTGACGAGATCATAGGCCAGGGTGCTTACCTGCTATGCAATCTCCGCACCTACAAGAAAACGAATCTTAAAGATGTTGGTGCAAGCTGGGTGTGGTGGCCCACACCTATAAACCCAGCATTCAGGAGGCTGAGACAGGAGGATTGCAGCAACCTCATGGGTAGCCTGGACTGCATAATGAGTTCTAGGCTAGCGAGAGCTACACCGGGAGACTCTGATTCAAAACTGTTAAATGGAGGTAAACAAGCAAACAAAGTCTGCCTGGGTTACAGTTGTGCCTGCTTCCTGGGATAGAAAGAGTCCAGCTTGTATATTCCATCAATGATAGCCATGTTTTCTCTGATGATTCTTCGTATTTAATTATCATCAATGTTTGCACAGATAGCTTTAGGTCCACTCATTCCCAATCCTGTTTCCCAGCTACCCCTTTCTTCATCCCCATGTCAGGGCTGTGGACTAGAGGATACCGTGACCTCCCAATGCCACACCCTGGGTCCTAGACCTTTGTGTCCTGACCTTGAGTGAGTTCGTACTGTGGCAGTGGGGCTATTTCTGGAAAACATGATGACACTACAAATAAACTATACATTAACTACACACCGGTGTCTTACTGACCTCAAGCCTCATAAATACATGCCAGTTCATTCTAACAAAATCTATCCCAACTCGGCTTCCCCTTAGCAAAAGCCTCAAGTTCTCGCTGCCTTGGAATGCTGATGCAACACTGCGGTATAGATAGATTGCATAGCTCATGGCTGGCACCATTTGCTTTGCAAATTTTGTAACGGTACGGGTACATCATTAGTGAACGTTATCACTAGGGTTTTAGAAATTAATTTATTCTTTGGCAGTTCTGTACACAGCAGACTCTGGTCAGTTCTCCTCCCACCTTCTCTCTGCCCACCCTGTCCCTCTCCTCTTACCAAGTCCCCATCCTATTTTAATGTCTTTTTGGTTTGGTTTGGTTTTACTTTTTGACCCACTGGGCTTAAACACAACTGCCTTCTTGGGCGTGAGTGTCAAGCATGGATAGTTACTCACCAGAGGCTACATCTGGAGCCCCCTCCTCATCTATGACTGGATGCTTAGAGGCTCTTGTGCAGACCCCACACCGGCAATTGTAGTCATGAGTTGATGAAGGCCTTGTCTTGCCTTTGAGTCAAGACCCTTCCCAGCCTTCCTCCCATCCTCAACAAGTCACTCCCAGCCGCCGGAGTCATCCCAAGTTCCTGCTTTCTCTGAGAGGATGAGAGAACTGAGCCTATATCTTCACAGTGCAGTGAAGATGAGTGATATCTCCAAGTCCCCCTAACACAAAGCCCAGACTAGAACTCAGGCTGCAAGTGTCCATACTTGAGGCTCTTCCACAACTAAAATGAATAGTGTTTCAGGGTTGGAGTGAGTTACCCTTTGTTGGGGTTCAGGAATCATCACTCAAACCAAACACACACCATCTCAGTTAAGCAAGAATAGTTTTTTGAATGCACACCACAATACTGGACATCCAGGACGGCAAAAAGGACTGTGGTCCTACTCTGCTCTCAGAGTCGATTTTTTTTTTTATAGGAAAGACCAGGTTCAAAAGTTTAAAGGGCAAGGAGGGAAGCAGTTGGCTTACTAAGCAAAGTATTATCAGCTAACCTTTAAGCCGATTGGTCCTGAGTAAAGTAAGGGTGGTGGATGGGTGGTGAACAGGGAAATTTCAGAACATCGAGATAACAGAGCATAAATATTATAAGCATAACTTTTTGGCTTGTCAGTAGCATTCTTCAGTGTCAGCCACACAAACCAGAGCGAGGTGCAGGAAGAGCTGCCCAGTGGTTAGCTCTGACTCAAAGATATTTTAGACATAACAGTTCATATTGACCTTTGATTTGGTAGATCCTATGTAAAGCTTTGTGGAATTTCTTAAGATTAGCAAACCTCATACATAACATTCAGGACATACAGAACAAAGCAGAGTATATGGTCAGCATGTTCTTGAACCAAGTCACTTCTGTGTCAATGCCTGGCAGGCATGTTATAGCAACAATAGGAAATAGCTGGCAGGCATGGAGCAAAATGGCTACAGCTATTCCGGGGGTGGGGTG